CATGAACCTGTTTGGGAACTAGAGCTTTACACCAAAGACGAGATCAACGAGATGATTGGTTGCATGAATGATTGGCAAGAGGAAGCAATGGGTAAGCTCACCAGCAATCAAGATACAGTATACGTGGTTTTGCAAGGAGGCATTAACAGATTGACCACACAGGATGGAAGCATAATTAGCTAGTTGAAGACACATCATGTGCAATCGATTGACGCTAACAACGAAGCAGCACAGGACGAACCGTCCATAGATCAGATAGCTACATGGGATACCAGGATTGACACGCTAGATCACCACCTCACCAACAAAATCAACTGGTTAAGCATGAGGATTGACTTGTAACAGCAAGATTTGGATGAAATGTTCGAGGAGAAGCTTAAGAAACCTCAATTGATCGACACAGACCATGGGAAATCGATCGATCTGAGGAAACTACCAGAACATAATTTCTATACCAGAGCAGGGGTTGACCAGATTGTTGAGAGGATCTACAAATCTCTGAACACAACCGAGGATAGGCTTGATAAGAGATGCGATGGTATATTATTCCCCTTGAACAACAGCATCAGTGGACTACATTCAGCAACAGATTGGTTGCAGAAGGAAGTAAGAACAATTCAAAAAAGACTCGCCCGTCGTCCTAAGATTACAGCATCGATCGACATCAATAAGGTCCCATCGAGCGATGATGATCGACAATACACCTGTTGCAACGACCGATTCCGAGTCCGTCCCAGAAGGAAATAAGCTGTTAGGAGAAATGACAGAACATGTTTATGATAGAGTTCAAAGCAACAGAAACAGCATTGAGAGTCTTCAAGAGAGACTTCAGAACATTGCAGACACAGTCATCAAGATAGATGCAAGATGGGCCAGAAGTGATGAAGCAACAAGAAGTTTCATGGCTACTTGGTTCAGCATCAACATAGAAGTTGTGGATACTTGTTTTCCACCAAGTAGCTCATTTTCCACACAATAGCTCATCCAGCGCCAACAGTCAAGCTAAATGACTATAACAAACCGCTGAGTGGGAGGCAACCCAGTATTAGCTAATTTTTATTTTGGTTTTCTTTTCATTTACTGTTTATTTTTCGTTTTCAATTTTTGCAGGTATTTAAAAAAAAAAAATCAGATCCAAGGAGAAACGAATGACCATCTCGTCGACCGACGCATGACAGTCGATATCGATTGACAGACACCCACCTGCAACGATCGATGTACTTCTACCCACATTGATCAATTATTTAGTCCGGTAAGGTTCATTTTTCTTCCTTGTTACATTGAGTACTTATGATTTATTTTCTCTCGCCATAACTCCAATTTTTTTTTACACTGGGACAGTGTAGTTTAAGTCTGGGGGGAGGTTTACTGATGTTTTATTTTCTTCAAGTCTTATAAAAATACGTTTTCCAAACTATTTTTATTTAGCTCAAGAACAGGGATAATGATCGTATTTGATTTATATTTGTAATCTAACCGCTTTTTCGCACCATTCTAGATTTTTTTATTACAGATAGTACTAAAGATGCTAATGTGGATCAACCAATCAGCTATCCACACTTGCTTAGATTGTTTGAAGGAACCAAAACTACATCTAGCACTAAACCTGACACAACTGCTTGTCTTGGGGTTGGTATACATGAGATCGGATTCTTCAAACATGTCTGGAAGGTAAAGCCTTGTGTAGATTTATCACCTTTTCTCTCTCTATTTTCGACCCTAGATATCCTAGTAGATTAGTTATATATTTTTTTGAAAAAATCCAAAAATAGTACTAAGTTTATTAAGTTTTTAGTTAGGAGGAATCAAAACAGGATTTGGTGGCTACAACCATTAAGGCTTTCTTCAATTATGATTCCAATAAAGAATTCGAATGAGGCTTGGTGGCAAAAAACATTAAGGCTCACTTCATATGAATTCTTGGATATAGGTCAAAAAGAAGTGATCGGGACTTGGTGGCAAAAACCATTACAGCTTGTTTCATGGAAGCCTGTCCAATCTTGATCAATAATCTTGCCTTAGAAGCAGATTTTGATTCAAGAGAGAACTTAGAAGAGACAAAAGATAGGAACTAACTTTTACCTGCAGATCCAAATACTTGTTTGAGTTTCCTTACATCATGTGATCGATACTCCCAAGGTAAAGCATGCACTTTTTTATGCTAAGAAATTAGGTTAGTTGAGGGGAATGTCATATAGTATTTGCTAAGTTGTTTGCTAGATGAACTTGGTTGCTAAGCTAGGATATGTCATAATGAACTTCTCTGGTTAGAATGTCTTAGATGTGGATTTCAGTATTATAGAGGTCATGATTTCAAAGTTTTTAAATCTATGAGTCCCTATTCTTTTCAAACCTCTTTCAGAGAGACTGTCTATTTGTTTTGCTTGAGGACAAGCAAAAAGGTAAGTCAAATACCATGATTTTGACATGTTTTTAGTTGTGGTTTATTGGTGTTTTTACTACTCTTTATTATACCATAGAAGTTTTTAAGCATATTTATGATTTCATGAGTATTTTGGAAGAAAATGATGTTTTTGGAGAAAATTGGAAGAAGCGTTCGATTTGAAATCGATCACGAGGTCGACACAGAGCGACTCGGATCGATCGACATGCACCTTGCATGATTGATCGATTATCAAGACATAGAATCCACTTCGCGAGACAAGTTGATTTGAAGCCCAATCATCACCAAATGATGATTTTACCTCTGACGAGTTTTAACCTAAGTTTATATACTCTGCCAAAGTGTTAGAGGCAGAGAGAGAATTTTATTGTATTCTTTTCATAGAAAAGCTTTAGGGTTTATAGTTTTGGAGAGAAGATCATGAAAGAGATTTGTGATTGAAACTCTAGTGTTTTCTACCTATCTATTTATCTATAATATACTGTTTTATTTATCTCTCTGTGTTATGAACTGCTTAGCTATGTCTGAGTAGTTTACTTGTTGGATTTAGGGTTTAAATAGGTTAAAGGGATTAGCCCCAACTATACGATTGCTAGTTGTGATACTCATTAATAGGATCTTCCTAACACTCGTGGTTCTAGAGTAGCTATCTAGAAACATTGACTACTTAATTACTTAGGTTGGATTAGAGACATTTAAGCAATTCTGATAGTCCTGAACACATACCTATTAAGCTAAGATTGCTAGATATACAGCGATAGTTTGATCTAGAAGTTTTTAGTGAGTTCATGTTAACTTGCGTGTATTGCTTGACCGGGCTCATCGATCGATATTTTGACAGAAAATCGATCGATGATGAGTTTAGTGTATCGACCGATGTTCCTACTGAATAATCGCTCGACATTGTCAAGTACGACCAGCCGGTCGTTAGACTTACTTTCTTGAAATGATAGTTTAAATGAATTTGTTAATTAAGATAGTTAATGCTCTATAGTATCTTGCAAGCAACTGAATAGAACCTATAGGATTATAATTCCAATACCTGAATAAAAACCCTAAGTCTAGCATCTTTTTCATTTTAGTTTCAAGAGTCTTTATTTCCATTTTCGATTAAGTAATTGTCTTGCTTGATTGAAATATTTCATGTTTACTTGTTTATTTTTTTCTGCTATTTATATTAGCCTAGATTATTGCTTGACTAGATTTATTAGGTTCACTATCTCCTTGTGGATTTTATACCCTAAGTACTGCAATAGATCTCTTATTTGAGAAAGTAAATTGCTCCTTGGGATAAAGATGAGAAGAGCATCTTTACTGTTTGGAAATGGAGGTATGGGTCAAGCTTCTTCTTCATATCAGGAGGAGTCTTTGGAATCAAAGATCAACAAAATCGGCAAGATTGTGTTAGACAATTTCAGGATCCTAAACGATCGTTTGTGTTTGATTGAAAAAGACAGAAAGGAGATTAAAGTTTGCTATAGAAACTACAAGGAAATACTTCATATGAAACTCCAAACAATAAGGTAACTTTTGTTTTGGAATTTAAAGTTGATTATTTATCTCGTCCTTGTTTTAGTTTTTTTTGTAATTGAGGAAGACGTTATACATATTTAGGATTGTCTTTCTGATTTTTTGTTGTAGTTACACAGACGGACACAACTCCACAAGGTGAAACCAATCCAGATCAAGCAGATGAAACATCTACTAAAATCACGGATCCGACAAATCCGAATCCGGGGCTGGATATTTCAAATTTCCTGGATACCTGGATTAATCCCACCCCTAGTTTGAATGTCCATAACTTACAAAAAAAATGTTTTATCGCAAGTAAAATATGAATAAACTGTGTGTTGTCTATAGCTTTTACCACGAATCCAAACATGCATTTGAAACAACACCACAATTAAATAATGTCATCGGTACTATGATATTCTCTTTTCCGGGAAATGGATTTTTTCTTCGATATATCCATCTTCTTTTTTTGTCAACATTGGCTATATCCATCTTGATATTGTTTATTTATTTCTTTCTTTTATTATGGGACAGCAAAAAAATTTGTACATTTATAAACATCTGCAATAATGTAGTTCTCCACAAACACATGACATTCATTCACATATATAATCTACAAATGATTTTTGTCAATTACAAAATTTTTATTGTTATTCACGGGAATATATTCTATATATATACGTTATCGTTGATAAATTCCTATCATGAAAGGGATAAGCATGTACGATTACAAGGTGATAAGCTACAAATTTTGACAAAAACAATTCCATGAATTAACGAGATAATCCTAAAATACTACTACTATTTGTTTTCATTTTATCTTACGAATATTTAAGTAAAACAAAGCGTACCCATTTCACACTTTCACAGTGACTTGTTACAACATGCATTGATCATCTACCAAAAAAGAGACCCTTTTTCTTTAGTTTCCAAATACTAATCAATCTCTTTTTTTTCTGGCTTTATTCTCTCCGGATAGAAACTTTTGCCAGTCAAAATTTAAGAGCTTTAAAGTAAAACGCCCACTAAGGTTTACTATACATATATACATCCTCCTCATATATAATAGTTTCACACACTTTCTTTTCTCTCTAACTCTTCTCTTCTCTCTAATTAATACTCCTCATATAAAAATGGCGTCGAAAGGAAAGAAACCAGTAAGACGAACAACTACAACAAGAAGACAAGGAATCAAGAACCCATCTTCTCCATGTAGTATCACTAGTGACGTCACTTCAACGTCATCATCAACTTCAATATCTTCAACTACCACGTCAACGTCGCAGATTCCAGCCAGCGGATGCTGTACTCCGAAATCTAAGAAGTCACGAATACCGGAGATGCTGACGTGTCCACCGGCGCCGAAGAAGCAAAGGGTGGCGCAAAACTTTGCTTTGAGGAGGAGACAAAACTCTTTCTTTGCTCCTCCAGATGTAGAGCTTTTCTTTCTTTTCGCTCATGGTCAACAAATCAATAAATAACTTAAGTTTTTTTGTTAGGGTTTTGTGGTTGTTCTCCTGGTATGATCAATCTCAAGCTTATGGTTTGGTTCAAATACAATAATTGAAGGTATATTACAGAGAGTGTAGTGTGAAATACTTTTTGCTTCTTTTCTTCTTGACTTTTTTATTTTTTTGGAAAAATTTTCTTCTTGACTTGCTTTTTTCTCTCTTTGGTATTTTTAGGTTCTGATCATTTTGAATTTGGGGTATAGGTTATAACTAATCGAACACCCTATATATCTCTTTTTAATTAGTTATTTTGTAACTTTTAAATTATGTTTTTTTTTGTAACTTTTAAATTATGTTTTCTGTAATGGAATGATGCTTGCTAACATTTCGGGATTGTTAGCTTTGCAGTTTTGTTTGAATTTTGGTTTGAGTCCATTACGAGCTGGGTTGTTGTTTTACATACTTTACTGGTTTTAGCTACGCATCAATTTATCCGTAATCTCTTCAACAACGTTCTTGATATCTATATCCTTTCTATTGGATATTTGAAAAAGGCATGACTTGATACTGTTTTTATCCGAGTGATAGCTCAAATTTAAATCTTTTGATCAGAGTTCAAAATATGTTATACCTTCGATAGAAAAGGAAAAAAAAGTTTATTACAGCACAAAATAGTGGATGCAGAATATGCATACAAAAGTTTTGCATATAAGCAAAACTTTACAAGATTGAACTATTCAGTTTTTGGATTTAAAGTTAATAAAATTTGTAATAATTACTGAAAAAAACTATTTGAAAATTTAAGAAATTACTTTATTAGTGTTACTAGAATCATAAGAAGCTGAATTCAGTTAGTGAAAAAGACGGTGGAGAATATGTTAAAGACAGACAAAATGTTGGAGCAGACGATATCATCTTTGAAGGGAATCCAATGAAAGGACTCGTGCAGCATTTTTTTATCATTGTCTCTCCTTTTTCTCACTTCATTCCTTTTAAGAAAAATTAATAATTACGAGTTATTATAGAATTATAACGAAACTGTATAGAATTATATCGATATAGAGTAGGTAAGAAGACGACATATAATTTAATAATTCATTTTATCCTCATTTCATTTCTTTTCAATTTATTGCTATAAATAATATAGATAATTACATTACATTTCATTTCTTTTCAATTTATTGCTATAAATAATATCTTTTGAATAATGAAATGTTTTTCGGGTACTATAAATAATCAAATGTTATTTTGTTATAATATACTCACACTTGAATAATGTTATGTTAGCATCTGGAATCAAAGTCTCAAAAATAAATAAATAACAATGTTAGCACGAGGACGTACGTATCTTGTGATTGAAATTATAAACTGACACCCATCCGTGCACTATTTATTCGTTTCTACGTCACTTAAAGGGTAACTTTAGAATACAATGTCACGTTAGGATGTACAACAACATCGATCGATGAGTACATCCAATATCGAATCTAGTTTTTTTTTTTAAAGTTAAACTAGATTTCAACCCGCGCAACCGCGCGTGTATTTGTTTTCATTTATTTTTATATAAACATTTTGTTTTTACTTCTAAATTAATATATATTATATAAAGTATGTATATCGAAAATGATATATTATATAAGGTGTGTATATCGAAAGATGATTAATTATTATATAATATAGATTAATTATTGTTAGACAATGATATTTTTGTCATTTTTAAAAATAAACTATATAATTTTTAAAGTTAACCTCGAAAATATATAACTAATTAACTTATACTATTACAATATTAAATTATACTATAAGTTTAATTTAAATATGTATTTTATTATACTATCTAAAAATTCAATGAATCATCTAATTTTTATTAGTCCACTAAAAATTTATAGTAAGCCCAGTAAATGTTGTTAGTGAATCTAATGAATGTTATTAGATTAAATATATAATGTTACCAACTCTAGTAGTCCATTTTATAAAAAATCACACATGAATGAGAAGTCATGACTTCTCTTTTAATATAATAGATAGGGTTTTTAAAGAGTTTAACTGAAAACTAATTATATTTTTGAACTTACAGATTTATTTTACCTTTAATCAGTTTATAATGACAAATGTAGCCGATATACTTTGAATCTCCGATACGATTACGATCTCTCTCACTCACTCTCTCGTGTGTTTGATACGTAAACAAGAAAGAAGATACACACAGTTTATAGAGTTCCCCAAACACCGAGTACTTCTCTCTTCAGGATCATTGTCCCGGAATGCACTATGTGATCGATACAAAGATCAGTTCTCGAGTCCGTTACAATAGTAACCTTATCCACTCTAACTAACCAAGGAAGAAGACGACTTAACTCCAAGCTCGTTTGACTACCTCCTTTATACTATCTTCTGTAATGGGCCAAGAGTAAACCGACACGGCCCACTTAGCACCTTCCATGTCACTTTAGTCCATACACCAACGAACTCATATTACGGCCCAACTGGTCAAAGTGACCATTAGACTGTTGACACTTGAAACCAAGAACCAACTTCCACAAACTCCACCTTGGTTCTTGGTTCCTTCCGTATTACCTCATAATACCTCATGTGCATTCCTAACCCTGGTATCAACACAAGTCTCATACAACACTCTGAAATTTCCTCAGCTTCCAACCTGCTAATCACAAAAAACTCAGATTAGCTACTCACTGCCACTGCATCATCTCATGTAGCTGAAAAAACCCTGAGACGATCCTGGCTCCACCACACTTCTCAAGCTTCTGTCATGTTCAGTGTTCTCAAATGACCACTAAACTTTTCACCTGGTAACACCTTTGTCAATGCATCTGCTGGATTCTTCAAAGTATGAATCTTCAGGACTCTCACTAATCCATGCGCCACAAGTTCTCTGATAAAGTTGTACTTGACTCTGACATGCTTGGTGCGCTCCTGAAACATAGCATTCTTCGCCAAGTAAATGGCACTTTGAGAATCACAAAAGATCTATGCAGCTTCATGTTTAAAACCCAACTCCTCACAGATGCCTTTCAACCAAACTACGTCTCTGCTAGACTCTGATAACGAGATGTACTCAGCTTCTGTTGTCGATAACACAACCACCTTCTGAAGACATGACCGCCAACTCACAGTGTTTCCTCCCACTGTAAACACAAAACCTGTAATTGATCTGCTTCTGTCCAAGTCTGACGCGTAATCTGAGTCGCAATACCCTCTTACCTGAAAGTCTACACCCTTTGAGAAAGTAAGACTCAAGCCTGTAGACCCCTTGATGTAACGCATAATCCACTTTACCACTGACCAATGCTCTGTTCCTGGTTTCCCCATATACCTGCTGACAAGCCCCAAACCATAAGCTATATCAGGTCTCGACCCTACCATCGCATACATGAGGCTTCCCACTGCGCTCGCGTATGGTACATCTTCCATTCTTCTCACCTGTTCTGCCTCCTCTAGTTTGGTCAACGCCTTTAACTTGAACTGTGAACCGACTGGAGTCTGAACTGGACTTGCATCCTGCAATCCAAACGTTTTCAGAACTTGACTCAAATACTTCTCATGTGACAGCCTCAGAGTTTCACTGCTCCTATCTCTCAGAATGTCCATGCCTAGAATACGTCTAGCTGGACCCAAATCTTTCATTTCAAACTCTGCCCTGAGAAGCTTCTTTAACTGATCAATGTTAACCTTACTCCGTGACGCTATCAGAATATCATCTACGTACAGAAGTAGATATACCCTTGAGTCAACTGCTTTGCCTTTGAAGTATACACACAGATCATACTGACTTCGATCATACCTCTCTCTGGACATGAACTCATCGAACCTGTGATTCCATTCACGAGGTGACTGCTTAAGTCCGTAGAGCGCTTTCTTCAGTAAACACACCTTATCTTCTTGACCCTTCTTCACAAAACCTTCTGGCTGTGTCATATATATCCTTTCCTGTAAGATGCCATAAAGAAACACAGTTTTCACGTCCATCTGCTCCAATTCCATATCAAAGTTAACGACTACTGACAGGAGTAATTTGATAGATACGTGCTTTACTACTGGAGCGAAGACCTCATTGTAATATATCCCTTCAACTTGAGCAAATCCCTTCGCAACTAATCTACCCTTGTGCCGTGGATCCTCAACTCCTGGAATGCCAGGCTTGTACTTGTACACCCACTTGCAGCCTATAACCTTCTGATCCTTTGGTTTGTCTGTTAGCTCCCAAGTTTGATTTACATCATGCGAAACCATCTCTTCATTCATCGCTCTGTTCCAAAGATTCCAATCCTTGCTCCTTCTGGCTTCAGCATACGACTTTGGCTCGTCTGTTTCTATTGCTTCTGCAATGGCAAGCGCATATGCCACAAGATCAGTATCACCATATCTAGACGGAGGTTTAATCTTCCTCCTAACTCTGTCCCTTGCCAAAATATAGTCACTCAAATCTTCATTCTGATCCTGATTAGAGTCATTGTTTTCTCATCTGAATCACTGGAGTCTGATAAATTTATTGGATCCCTTATCGTGACTGCTCCACCTTGAGATGAGGACCCTTCCTTTGAACTATCTTCAGGTTCAAATTCTTCTAAATCCTCCCTGAATGAGACTTTCTTCTTGTTATTTTTCGGTTCCGTATTCACAACTGTAACTTCTGTGACTTCTTCACGCTGTTTGTATAGCTTCTCCTCATTAAACACTACATCCTTGCTAATAACAACCTTTTGTTCCTCCAATAGCCACACTCTATAACCTTTTGTTCCCAGTGCATACCCAAGTAGAATTCCCTTTGTTGCACGAGGACTAATCTTGTCTGCAACTGTGTGAACATATGAAATGCACCCAAACCTTCTGAGATGATCATATCTCGGCTCTGTCTCAGACCATAGTGCCTCTGGAACTTCAAAGTTGATCGCAGATCCTGGTGACCTGTTAATGATGTAAACCGCTGTTGATGCTGCCTCGGCCCAAAACTCTGCTCCCAAACCTGTTTCATGAAGCATGCTCCTCACTTTGTCCATTATGGTTCTGTTCATGCGCTCAGAGACTCTGTTCTGCTGAGGAGTGTATGGACATGTCTTGTGACGTTTCACTCCTGTCTCTCTGCAAACTTTATCAAATGAGTTATTGCAGAACTCTAATCTGTTGTCTGTTCTTAGACACTTCAGCTTCTTCTGCGTTTGATTTTCAACCAAAGTTTTCCACTCCTCAAACTTCTGAAACGCCTCATCTTTTGTCTTGAGAAAGTAAATCCATACTCGCCTTGAGTAGTCGTCTATGAACGTCAGGAAATACTTACATCCAGATAGACTTGGGGTCACATTTGGTGAACCCCACAAATCTGAGTGAACATAGTCAAGTATTCCTTTTCTTGTGTGTTTCGCCTTCGGGAAACTTAGTTTGTGAGACTTCCCCATTGTACACGCTTCACAAAACCCTAGAGACTTAACTTCTTCCTTCTTCAAATGACCCTTCTTTACCAAAATTTCCATTGAAGACTGGCTCATGTGTGCTAGACGCGAGTGCCACCTGCTAGTAGTATCAACAGCATTACAGACCTCCTCTGTGTTGACCTCTCTTACTGATCCTTGTAGATAGTACAGACCTTGATCATATTTCCCTGTCAATACCTTCTGATCTCCTTTGTAGAATTCAACTCTGAAGCCT